TTAGTTTCTAGTTCAGTAATTTCTTGCCAGCCATGTCTAATTGTTATGTAATGCCTTTCTGAGTTTCTAACTAAAATTTTTATGTGCTGTATTTTTTCATTTCTGGTAGTTCTGTTCTTTAAGATATTCATCTGGTTTTTTATCAACCCCTTGGTCCTTCATCTTAGTTTTGGAGGCTTCTTTTACTTACTTCTTTTAAGTGCATTTATTTTACATTTTGCATGCAGTAATTCTAATATTTGTAGTCTCTTCTAATTTTGTTTTCTTCTGCGAACTCTTGCTCATACATAGTAACTTTTTCCTTACGGGGTTTTGTTGTGATTTTTGATTGAGCTCTCCTCTGTTTCTTGAAACATTGTAGCATTTAGAGAAGAATAGGCATTTTGTGGCACCTAGAAGCTCTATCAGTCCAGAGATATATTAAACTGATTTCTTGGGTGAGAGTTTGCCTGGTCAGATAATATGAATTCCAGAGCCCAGACCTAGGGGAGGGCTGGCTTATGGTTAAAAATTTTCAGAAAAGACTTTCCCCTCTTTACCCAGCTAAGGCTCAGACAGGACAGTTTCTTACAGTTCTCCCTAAAATGGGGAAGTGGGCTTTTCCCTAGTTTACCTTCTGTGCTGGTTTCTTGTGGGAGTCTCAGAGTTCTATGCCATTGCTTCCCAAAGCCTTTCATATCTCTGCTAACACAGAAGATGATACTTGATCAGCAGCACACTGGATAAACAGGGAGATTCGGAGCCCTTGATAAGGATATTGCAGTTGTGGTCGACAGACTTGGGGCTGCAGCCACTAGTGCACTGCTCATTTTCCCTGAGAACTAACACTGTTTCCCTATTACAGAAGGAAATGTTTTGCCTAAATGTGTAATAATTAAAGGGCAGGAAAATGAATGGTGAATACCATTACAGACTCCTAAGTTAATACTCTATATCACAAAAATGGTGTTTCTTATTAAACATTTTGGTTTTAGGACTCTTAACACTTGTAATATTGAAGACCCCAAAGAACTTTTGCTTATGTGGGTTGTATTCATATTTTTTATGTTAGAAATTTTTTAAACATTTACTTAATCATCCTTACCCACCAAAAAAATAGAGAAGAGGCATTGTTTTAACATTTCTACAAATCTTCATATCTCTGTTAATATGTTTGGATTCTCAAATCTGCCCTCAGTGGTTCTCCATTCATTATGTTGCAGTAAATTGTTTGGATTAAAATATGTGAAGGCAATATGTAACTGAAAAAGGGAGAACCTCCTGGATCCTATCTATTCTTGGATCACATTTTAAGAAACAATGTTGTGTAGAAACTAAAGGAGTTATAGAAATGTTTCCCCTATTAACAGACACCACTTATATGGACAAGCCATTTGTGCAGATGAATTATTTTAATTTCAGTAGTGACTATAAATTTAGTATACTGTAAAGCCATGTCGTTGTAAAGCACTAAAAATGGGGCCCAGATTTGGGTACAGGTTAGGGTGGAGCCAGAAATGTAGAAATTAAGAGTTCAGTTGAAACAACTCGAAAGTAATATTTAAATTTGGGGTTGGTTGGTCATTCAAGTTCCCAGTTGAATAATTCTATTCCAATACCTTTATGCTTTTCTCCCCCCAGAGTAATATATGATATAATAAAAAATAAAGTGGTATAGAAGGGCTTACAATGAAACGTTCCCTTATTTTCCTTCTCCCTGTGTCCCAATTCTACTTCCTAAAGATCCCCACCTTTAATGCATTCTGGTTTTGTTTCTAACCTATTTATTTCTAAATAATAAGCTTAATTTATCAACTTTATGCATTATATCTTGATTTCTTATAGTCATAGTTAGGATTTATGTTTCTCCTTTCTCCTTTCATATTGTATCTCATTCCATTTCTCTTTCCGTATTCAATTGAAAATGCTATTTGTTACTTGGAACAATACATGCCATTTATAGTTGCATCAGGTAGTACTTGCTGGGGAAAGAACCTTAAAACTCCTGTGCTTCACTTTCCCCCTTTTCTACCCCATCTCTCAACTTAGCTATAGTTTCACTTGTGATAACATTTATATTATGTTCTGTAATCATAGTTTATTTTCTATAATTCAGGTTGATTCTAGAACCTTAAAGCAAAATGGTTCCATTATTACAATAGTGTTTACTGTGAAGCCAAGTGCTATTCAGATAATTCCTAATATGTTCCATTTTTACAGCCCTGTAGCACTTAGTAGGAGAAATTTTCTTAGGCTCAAGTTCAAGTAGATTTTTCCTTTTTTATACCCTAATTGTTGAACTGTGATGTGTTTTTACCAGGATAATGCCTGTCTTGAGCAGTTTCGTATTTTCTGAGATCTTTCATTACCTCTTCTTTTTTCTTTGTTGGTGTCTTGATTATGTCTTAAGATTTTTCTAGACTCCTGGTCTACTGTCTGTTGTACAATTCTGTATTTCCTGGACATCTTTGTTGGAGACTTCTGTCCTTCCTTTGGTTCCCTCCTGTCTTAAGTTTGGGGCTTGCCAGACAGCTGTTGACCTGAGCTTTCTTTCATCTCATGGGTTTGGACCCACTGTTAGCAGGATCCCATTGTTTCTTTCTTGCTTTACTTTTCACTGAAGTAATTCCTGTCGTTTCCTAAGAAAAGGAGTATACAAGGTAAACTCCTTTGTTCCTTGAATGTCAAAAAAATATTTATTCTGCCTTACTATTTTAGCTGGGTACAGACCCTCTATATTAGTAACAGTTTTCCCTTGAATTTTGAAGACATTACCCTAATGTCTTCTAGTCACTAGTGTTGTCAACAAAACATCTGATTTTCATTTAGTTGTATGTAGGTGACCTGTTTTTCTTATCTCTGGAGACTTGAAGGATCTTTTTGTCTTGAGTTGTGAAATGCTGTCTCTCTAGGTGTTCCTTCATTCTGTTTTGCGCTCTGTCGGCCCTTTGTACTTGAAAATACGTGCCTCCCTTCAAGAGTGGGAAATTTTATTAATTACCTTTACCTGCTTTTTTCTATTCTCTCCAGAATTCCTTCTAGTAGGTTATTGGACCTGCTAGTTTTTTCTTCTCTTTTATAGTTTTCATGTCTTTCATATCCCTCAACTTTATCTTTTAACTAGTATAAAGTTCTTGTTTTATGAATACAAATTAGTTTTTGAAAATATTTGTCTGTTGCCTTGAGATACCCATGTTTCCCACAGGGTCATTCTTTGTTTCTTTTGCAGTATGTAGGTTTTCTTTAAATACCTGGTTATTTTGGCTGGCTGTTCTGGAAGGCCTCTGACTGACTCCACTTTTTGGCAGGCAGGTAGGAAGATGGCCACGAACCTCCAGGTTAAGTTCAAGAGTATAAAGAGTGTTTTTATCTAATATTACTTGTTCCCTAAATACTTTCTTTTCCTCCCCCACCCAACCCCCTCATGAAATACCCTTCCCTTTTATGTCTGATTCTTTTAAGTATTTCTTAAGCTTTTGTACTCATATTGTTTTTATAGGTTTGTCTCATGATGTATTTGGTTTGTCCTGGTTAACTAACAGAAGCAATTTAGATTTAATTTATTCACAAAGGACAGTGTCATCTAAATGGAAGCTCCTGTTTTACTTAGTGATTGAAGGTGTTCTCATATTTCACAAATGTATTTTTATGCAACAAGTTTGGGATTCTTTATAGTCTGTTTTACTTAAATAATTTAAAGACAGTTAAGTCTTTTATGTAGAGATATAACTTAATGCCATTTATTCTGACAGTTCAAACTAGGTAAAAAACTTGATTTGAACTATTTCAAGTTAAGACTTAATTTTACTAAAACTAATTTAACTTGATTTGACCTGAATTTTTAAAAATGAATTTACTTATTTAGCCTTTGAATACTTAATTGAATTGGTATAGTCCAGTCTGGTCATCCACATCATGTAAAAGTTGGTTTTTCTAAGGATACTTGAAATCAAAGGAGAATTTCCCAGATGGGTCTATTATAACAAACCAGAGAATCTTTATTCTGAATACCAGTCAGCTGCACTAGCCCTTGACTCCGTGGGAATTGGAACTGAATCTTCATGATGCTTTTGGTAGAGATTACTGTACCAGATTATGGGGACATGGCTATATATAGCAGGTTAGGCAGCCCTAGGGATGTACATGGTAATTGTTAAATGCATCAGCATCTTTTTTATGTGGTTCTTGGGAAGGGTGACTATAAAATTTATTGTTCAGACTGAGACATGTAGGAGAATGAGAGAGTACCTCTAGTAATTCTGCTGGGATAATAGGCATAAACCGAAGTATATGGTCATCCCTTCTTGAGTTACATGGACTTTCAGTCAGAGGCAGTAGAAGTCAAATTGCTTGCCTAGTTGACCTGACATTCCTGTTCTATTCCTACCCTGCTTTGTCCTACAGGACAAGTTTTGGGACCAAGAATTGTGAACAGGTACTAGATAAAGAGCAGTGGGTTGAATGGAAACAGTATAGGAATCCGAGACTATCTGAATTTTTACTTAACCAAACTCCTATGCATTGTAGTCTGGATGTATGAAATTTTACCACTAAATGTTAAGTACAAGTTTCACAGAACTGGTATTTCTCAGTTCTAGGAATTTTGAAGAAGTATTATATGGTGCTGGCATTTTTCCTTAAGGATGTAGAATTAGCCTTAGAAAATGTCAATCCCAAACCAATTTCCCACTCTTAAAATTTAAACTTCTTTTTTTGAGCATTTCATAATGGATACAGCTATTGAATCACTATGTTGTATACATGAAACCAATATAATATTATATGTCAACTATTCTTCAATTTAAAAAGATTTTTAAAAACCTTCCCTTTCCTTGTCTTATAATTGTCATATATGTATAAAATATTAGCCAATTTTAATATCAAAATATGGAAAACATCATCCAAATGATAAATTATAGAATTTCTTTGGACTCTGTTCTAAGTTTTGTTTTGTCTTGTTTTGTTTTTTCTCTTTTTCATATTGGGCTGAAATCTGCCACCCTTCCATCCATTGGTTCTAGTTCTGTTCTCTGGAGCAGCATGGAGTAAGTCTCTTCTATTAGAAGGCAGCTCTCATATGTCCCTAGGCAGTTTTTAATATGAAATAGTACGCATTCTTATGAATTTCAGATTGATTCTCCTCAAACACATCCTGCTTATCAGTGTTTTCCATAGTACACTTAAAACATGTTGGCCCCAAATTTTAATTCGGTGCCACATTTGTATGGTATTGTGCATACCAGTGAATAATACCCTGTACCATAACCCATGAGTCAGACACTCTAGTTTAATAGTGCAGTTTCAGCATATGTCAGGTATTTTTTTCTTAGCTATTCTTAACTACTGGCTCATGTTAAAACTTACAGTCAGCTAAATAACTCTTGGGGCTCTCTTTTTTCTTTAAAAGGCATTTTTGCCTTGGAAATGCAGCTTTAGCAAATACAATGGTGAGTGTATTCCTTGGAGAACCTAGAACAAAAAAATACACTTTCATATGCTAATATCTGTATGCCTTTGTTTTATATGACATAGGCCCTCAATTTAAAAGTTAAACATTAAGAACTTGAGCTGGCAGTTGATTTGCTTTACAGTTAAAGTTTTGGAAAGTGCTTTTGCCTCTTTGAGTTTTAAATGCATAGGGTTACAAAGCATCTGACATAGATCTCCTTTTGCAACATGTACATTTTTAAGAGAAAAATAAATATGTGTAATGAACTGTTGCCCATGACCTGTAAATTTTAACCAAGTGATAGATATTCTGTTGTAGGTTTGGTACCCTAGATCAAGATTTCTCAACATCAGCACTATTGACACTCTTTGGGTAATTCTATATTGTGGGTTGTTGTCCTGTGCATTGTAGGATATGTAATAATAGCATTACTGGCCCCTGCCCACTAGATGCCAGTAGCACACATTACCAGCACCACCTCCTCTGCAGTCTGATACCAAAAATATCTCCAGATCTGGCCAAATGTCCACAGGGAGTACAAATATCTACCCCAGTTGAGAACCATGGCATTAGAGCATCGGAAGTATTTCTTAAGTCAACTGGGTAATAGTTTTACCTTAAATGTTTTCCATAGTTAGAGTTAGAATATGGTATTTTTCTTAACATGATTTCTTTGTAGAGAGATTTTTATAGATACAACATACTAAAGAACTTTGCGTATAACAAATACCTTATAAAATTCCTAGTTTGATCAATTTTTTTTCTTCCTAATACTGCTGCTTATCCCAGTTTGTCATCCCTGCTTTGTGCTGTGATCTACAATCTGAAACATAGTATGTGTGACTGTCTAATGTATTTGAGAATAAGGAATGAAAATTATATAATAATAACAAATATGGTATTGATTAGGAGGTTTACTGAGTTCAAATATTTGGTCTTTTGTAGTCCATGATTGAATTACTAGAAAATGTGCTTTTCATTTAAGTTGACTAAACTCCTAGATTTTAAAAGTAAATTTTATTATGTTTATTCTTCTACTTCACAATATAGCCAGCAGCCAGCTTCCGGTGTAGCCTACTCTCATCCAACTACAGTTGCTAGCTATACTGTCCATCAGGCTCCAGTAGCTGCACACACAGTTACTGCTGCCTATGCACCAGCAGCCGCCACAGTTGCAGTTGCCAGGCCTGCTCCAGTAGCTGTGGCAGCTGCTGCAACAGCTGCTGCTTATGGAGGCTACCCTACTGCACATACAGCTACTGACTATGGTTATACCCAGAGGCAACAAGAAGCACCACCACCACCACCTCCAGCTACTACACAAAACTACCAGGTAAGAAAACTACTAGTTTCAGTAGCCTTAACATATAAGCTTCAGTGGCCTCATTGTGTAATATAATGTCCAAGCCACTGTTTCACAGACTTGGATGTTTCAAAATATACCTCTGACAGAGAAAAGAGAATGTGTATTCCTAGGTAATTCAGGGGCATAGCCCAAGCATTACATTTCTTTGCAGTGAGTTTAATATTGATAATGCCCTTTAGTCCATTCCATTCCATTTTATATCTGTGTTTGCTTTAGTTAAAAAATTTTCCATTAATTACTGCTTAAATATTTTAATTTTCCACAAATTTTTGAGAAAAATTGTGTAACACCCTTGTTTGTGCTAGGGTGTTTTTGTCCACTTGAAACACAGCTATGTCACCTATTTTGAGAATATGAATTTATAAAGGACAAACTACATAGTGTCTTGAAACTTTTTAAGGGTGGAAAGTTTGTTGCCTGTACATTCTTTCCCAAGGTGTTCCTTCTTAGTAAATTGATCCTGCTCTTAGTCACCTAGTTACTTTTTGTTCAGTCTTATGGGGACATAAAGATCTAATGTTTATTGCACTAAACTACTACTTGCTTATTGAATCAAATTTGTTTCAAATTCCTGTAACCCATTTTTTGGTGTCCTTTTAGGATCTGCTTTTTAAACAGTGATCCTTCTGGGCTTGGCCTAATTATTCTGTGTTCTTTCTGAAGTATACAAATTAATTGCTTTAAGCAAAACATTGACATGAATCACAATGTTAGTATTTGCTATTAATAATCTGGCAAGTTACTAAACTTGGAATTCCTTTTGATGTATGATTATTTTCATTATATCCAGAGATAATATCATGATTTCATTGTTTTTAATAGGGTAAATGAAGCCCATTCATTTTCTGGGCCCTGCCCACTTCTTCAACTTTTCCACCTCCATATCTCTCCATTCCTTTTCATTTTACGTAGAGCCAGAATGCACCCAGCTAACCTGATCTTCACTGCCTTGGAGGTTTATGTACAGTTGACCCTTGAACAACATGGGTTTGGACTGTGTGGGCTCTCTTACATGCAAATTTTTTTCAATACATATATTGGAATTTTTATTTGAGATTTGCCACAATTAGAAAAAAAGATTTCCTTTTCTCTAGCTTACTTTACTGTAAGAATATAGTATGTAATACATATATAAAATATGTATTAATAGATTTTGTTATTGGTAAGATATTGTTCAAGGGTCAACAGTAGGCTATTAGTAGTTAATTCTGAGGGGAGTCAGAAGTTATATGCAGATGTTCAACTGCACAGGGGTACAGTGACCCAACCGTGGCATTGTTCAAGGTCAACTGTATAGTATTCCTTCTACCAGGAACTTCCAATCCCCTTTTTTCTCCTTTATCTGGAAACTTAACTCATCGTTATATTTAATGATAGTAGTACATAGGAATGAAAAGAAAGCTGGAGTAGTCAGAAGGCTTAGTACACAGGTGGTCTTTACTGTGGGATCCATCTTTAAGGCAAAACTGCCATGAATTTCTTAATACAGTTTTTTTTAAAGCATTAGTTTTAAATGTTCTGGTGATGTATCTGATTGTGAAAGTTAAATCTGCTCTTTGAAATAGCTTTTACTTTATTCGATGAAGTCCAAAATGTTTTGTTTTCCTTAATTCCACTTTTATATAGTAAAGATGGGATTTTTTCCTGCCATTTCACTCATACCAAGATTTTCTTTCATTCCCTTTCTTTAGGACTCGTACTCATACGTAAGATCCACAGCTCCTGCTGTAGCTTATGATAGTAAGCAGTACTACCAGCAGCCCACAGCAACTGCTGCTGCTGTAGCTGCTGCTGCCCAGCCTCAGCCTTCTGTTGCTGAAACCTACTATCAGACAGGTGGGTTTGTTAACATAGTTTCATTGTAAACTATTGGAATACATTATTCAAAGTGTTTTTTAATGAAAAACCACTTTTGAGTCCTTCAAAAATCTCTATTATAGGTCCTTGAGAGGCAGGTTGTAGCCATATCCTCCTCTGATAGAATGCCTTTGAATACCAAAGAGAGAGAGAGAGGGCATGGCAAAAATTCATAATCATGCCCTTCTCTCCTGGAATATATTTCATTTCTGGTCATCAGCTTACAGTTCTCTTTTTGCTGAAATAGAGGTACAAAAGAAGTTACAGTGGTAACTTCTGGGCAGTTTCCTATCTTTGCCAGAAGTAGTCAGAACATACTGCTGACTACCTTTGTAACCATTAGAGGGAGACCCTTCATGGGCCCATATTTTATCTTTCCTCTATGATGACAGTTGGTTCTGTTACTGGTCACTGGTATTAACATGTACATAATGGTTCAAATGTAGGAAGTGTTTGTTTGCAAAGAAACCTACATATTTGTAGTCTTTAAAAAATGGATTTTTTTCATAGAGGTTTAATTGAGAATTTTTAAAACACAGCTGTCTGAGTTCTGAAAATAGGCAACTCCTTTATGTTAATTATTTTTGAAGGGCCATGAGTGTGTGGGTAGAGCCTTGTATTAGGATGAGTAGAATTGGCATCTAGTATTGCCTTTACCACTAACATGGGCAAGTGATTTTTACTTCTTTTCATCTCTGTTCTCATTTATAAATGAGGTAGCAGATCTCTCTAGGGTACTTTTAGTTCTAAGGTATTATGAATCCCTTAAAAGTAGTTTAGAAATATTTTGAATTATAATGACCCTCATTTTGTTAATTATCAAAGTTGGATTGTGCTTAAGAGTCCTGAATTATCCAAGTCAGAAGACCTTGATTAGTGTAAGCTCTGACACTATGTGACTTGTGTAAGTCTTTTAGCCTTTGGACATTAATTTTGTTTCATAAAATGTCCTCATCTGTGTTGTGTGGATCAAATTTCATACTATATATAGATAAAAAGTTTTATAAATTCTTAAGTGCTGTTTATTTACCTTTACTAAATCGAGTATAAAATGAGTTTGATTCTCTGATAATTTGGGCCTAAGAAAAGTTTGTATGCTTTAGCAATCATTAACAAGTGATTAATTACTAATTTAGTGATTGACAATAAGGTTTATAAGATTCAAGGCATACATTTGTTTTGAATATGGTCAAAGGCAGCAGAAAGTTTAACAGACATTAAAGGTAGTCATTAAAGAAGAGCTGTACTCAAGGTGTTGACACTTGGGGAATTAAGTCAGTAACACCTTGTGCTTTGGAATTAGATTGAAGTTCACTGTGGATAAATACATAAAATGCGATGAATGGTGCATGAACAAGTTTCTTATAATTAAACTGAGATTTTTACTGTGAATTGAAATATACTTTGATGCTCTATTGTGTTCCCAGTATTAAGCATAACTCTCAAGTAGACTGATTAAACCTAAATACCCACGTGCATCTTTTCTGAAAACTTTGTTTAGTATTACCTATTTTAAGTAGTGCTAGTATTTCGATTATTCATATATTTTGACAAGATGCCATTTGGGGAATATGTAGAAAGCATCTGGGAAGGGATAGTAAGTTAATTTATATGGATGTTATGTTTTCTTCAGTTGGTTATAAGAATTGTATGCTTTTTGCCGAGAAGAAATTACTAGCGTCAACTTTAATATTTATGCCTATTTTTACTGTTTTTCAAGGATATTGGTACAGTAACTATAGTGGTTCATTCTTCTAATTTTCTGATATGTCTTTCCCAATTTAGCTCCCAAAGCAGGTTACAGTCAAGGTGCAACTCAGTATACACAAGCCCAGCAAACTCGACAAGTAACAGCCATAAAACCAGCCACACCAAGTCCGGCTACCACTACTTTCTCCATTTATCCTGTATCTTCCACCGTTCAGCCAGTAGCAGCTGCAGCAACTGTGGTGCCATCCTATACACAGAGTGCTACTTACAGTACTACAGCAGTTACTTACTCTGGTAAGACTTAGAGACTCTGTATAAACGAGTAAACAGATTACAGAGAGATGTGTACTAGAATCTATCTTGATTTTCTGTGGAATAATCCTACAACCAATCTATCAAGAGCAAGTATTTTTAATACATATTTAATGTGTTTATGTGCATGAAATATATTTATATTCATATATTTATGTGCATAATGGTGACAAATGGACCGTACTTAGTTGTATTCATTTTTTTAAGCCAGGAAATTTTAGCAGAACTTAAAATGCTATTTGGGCATTTGAAAGCTAGTCATGAGTCTTGGGCCTAACATTACAATTAGAGAAAATAACACCTAGTATTTTACAGGCTCGTTTCTTTTCTGACTTTTCAAAGTGAATTTGAAAACTCAGTTAACATTCAGGGAATACCAGTGATAAATACTAAATTACAAATGATCTATTTCAGCTCCTCAGAAGCTATTTCTTCATATTTATTATCAATAATAAGTAATCTTGAAAATATTGGGTAGGCTTTGCAAACATCCATAGTGGTTATATAACATGTTTCCTGGAAGGACAAAGTAGCTTTGTTTTCTTTAAATAATCATATATTTTCCCTGGAGAAGTACAGTTACTAGAACCTTCTTTCTGTGTCCACTGCTCATAACCAATTTCCAGCTGAGGTACTTTGCAGAGTTTCTGTGATCAAAATCACACATTGTTTTTTGTAGCCATGTAGCCTTGTACTACTGTATGGCTTGTTAGTATTTTGCCTTTTATTTATTCTTTAATACTGTATCTTGTTCCACGGAGAATTTACTGTGGCATGGGCAATTAGAGTTTTTTCTTGATACTTGTAGCTGAATGTTAGAAGCCTAGCTACTGAATTAAAAGCTTTTTTTAATTTCTCAAGAGATTTTCTTTGTCTCTTACTCTGTCAAATGCTGTACTAAGTTAAGTGCTAGAAATACAGCAATGAACTAGGTAGGCATGTTTGGGAACAACAGTTCCTTGTGGCTAGAATATAGGATATATGGGCAGATAAAAGGATGAGGCTGGAAATACCTGTGTGAAAAGCCATGAAGGCTCTGCTATGGCGTCTGTCTTTATCTTGTGGTCAGGAAGAATGCCAAAGAGATTTTAAGGGAGCAGTGGGAGCAGATTTGTAAGTTAACTGTGACAACCATGTGGAAATGAATTGGAGTGAAGAGATGTTATTAATTCTTAGATCTGTCATTCAAGATTGCCCACATACAACTTTTCTGCCTCTCTTTTATCTGATTAACCAGCTATAACTGTAAATTAAATTATTTCAGTAAAATCTGAGTGGATACATTTTTAAGAAATATCCACATTAGCATCAACAAAATAGAGGAGTGTGATAGTTTCCTTTCCTATTCCTTGTTTTTCTTTTATGTGTACTCCTCCTCCCTCTTTTCTGTTTTGCCTTTATCTCTCAGTTGCTTCAGTAACCTTACCCATAATGGAAAAAATTATTTACTGCTTTATTGAATGAGTAATATATCACTTTAAAACTAGAAACTGTAGATGAAGTAGAGAAAAATTAAGTCACTGGACATTTAGCTCTTAGGCACTAACTGCCATTAACACTTTAGGTCATGTTTTCCTTTGCTTTTCTTCCTTAGGAGTATTTATATATAAGCATCATGGTTCATTTATAAGAATGAATTTGTCCTATACATACTACTGTGTAAATTGCTTTCTTCTCATTCTAAATGTCCTTCCATGTCACTAAATATAGAGATATAGTATTCCTTTGATTATTGTTTTCCCTCAACTTACTTTAGAAAATTTTAATTCTGCAAAAATATTTAAAAAATAGTACAGTTGCCTATATACCATTTACCTAGATTCACTAATTATTAGTATTTTGTTACATTTGGTGTGTTTTTCCTCTTAAAACATATCTTCAAATTGTTCAGGAATATAAGTTACAGATGACATGTTTCTTTGGCCAGAATTCTTCAGCATGTATTTGTCAAGAAAAACAGCATTCTTTTACATAGTCACAATGCAAATATAAAAAGGAATTGAACTTGTATATTATCTAATACATTTCTTCAATTGTCCACAAATGTCTTTTATGGCTGGGCTTTCTATGTGTTTGTGCTTTGTTTTAAATCCAGAGTCCAGTAAGGGGGCCTGCCTTGAATTTGGTTGTCATATCTTACTAGTTTCAATTTCCTTTAATGTAGAGTAATCCCGTTTTTTTCTTGTCTCCCATGACCTTGACATATCTGAAGTTTCAGACCAGTTGTCTTGTGAGTTGTCAGAGTTTCTGCTGGTTGTAGAATATCCTGCAATCTGAATTTACCTGATTTCTTCATTTTTTGTTTTGCCTAGATTCAGTGAAACTAAGTAAGCTTTACACTTCATCACATCAGGAGCACATAAATAGTGTCAGTTTATTCATTGATGATGCCAAGTATAATCACTGGCTAAAGTGACTACCGGATTTCTCCATTGTAAAGATACCTTTTTCCTTTTATAATTAACCAAATAAACTGTGAATCTGTTATCCAACTTTCAGTCTGTTAGAGCCTTTGAAAATCTCTTAACTGAATCAAGTTCTACAGTGGTGGTTACAAAATCCTTTGTTAGGAATCCTTCTCTAAGGAAACTTAGAGTCCTTTCCCCCTTCTTTTTTAGTATTAATATGGACTTATTCTTTTTTATTCAATGTAGTATAATCCATCACTCTCATTTTTCTTTTTTGAAGCACACATTGTCCCAAATTTGGCCAGTGGGATCCTTTTCAAACTAGCTCCTCAGTGTTTGAGGCTTGGCATCATTAGTCTTTGAGCACTTGTTTCCTTTCTGGCACTGTAAAATGTTACAGATACAGATTGAGCTTTTCCTGCCTTAGACTTAAAATCAGCCATTTTGCAAAGGAGCCGTGATTTCTTACTTACCAGTGGTATTTAGAAACTAAGATCTATCCTTAGAAACACATAGTTTTTAACAGCTACGTATTTATTGTATGGATGTACTGTATTTTAAAATGTGTATTTTGGGACATTCAGTTCCATATTAGGGAAAAACTAGAAACAAGATTGGATAAAATAATCCTTGTATATAAAGATTTGTATGTCTGCCAACTTTTACTCTAAGATAAATTCTTAAATTTGGACTGTTACATCGAAGGGTATTGTGCACTTTTTAAAGATGTGATGTACAGTGTCAAATTGCCATCCAGAGAGATCATTATTAGGGATTCTGAGTTTTGTGTCTGCAATTTTATATCAGCTACAATTTAGGTAGGTCATTTATTCTTTTTAATTCATTAAAATGAGTTCTGAAATATTGGTTCCTAGTAAATGGTGGCTTGTAGCATAATGGATTTACTACTAAAATGGTATGTTTTTGTTTCTGATACTGTACATTGAAAAATCTGAACTGTTAGAATTGTGTAACTTACTAATTGATAAGCATTTTTAATAAAAATAATTTTTAAGTGAAACTTTTAGTATTCAAAAACTGAGCTTTATCTTATTTCTATACATAACAGGTAGTCATTTAGAAAAGGTCTATTATAAAAATTTCATATAAAAGTCATCCTAACCAGTAATGATCTAAAAATAGCTTTGTTATTTTTGACTGTACAATTTTATGGTTGTGGTTTAAGAATGAAATTTAAACTGTACATGTTTCTGCTGATAAACTCAAAAGTATTTGGTTGTAGCTTGATTGTTGTCTTTTATCACATTCTTAAATAATAGAAGACATTGGTAGGACTAACCAGTAGGAGTTTATCTGTTGAGTTTTTCTTTTAACCAATTATTACCAACTTTTTTCCAATTTTTTTTTTACTGGTCAAATGCTTATTGATATGCTTACTTCTTCCTTTAATTTTTAGATTTTTTTTCCCTCTCTTACTAAATACTTTCTGTCTTCTAATCTTCATAAGCATTTATATAATTAAATAACCTGACATAAAAGTCTAGGAAGGCTTTTTATGAAAATTGCTTAACTCTTCTGTATACATCCAGTTTCAGATTTCTGTGATTCTGATTTCTCATGCTTCTTAACTCTCATCTTTCCAATTCATTGTTTCTTCCTGTATGTGTAGATATGTATTGAAGTTAGTGGATCACAAGTCCTTACTTTTCAGCATAGCAGTCTGCATTTGAGAGACCAATGTTCAGTTTTCTTTGAGTAGTTTTTCTATGTCATCCTGGCAATTAAGAATTTCTGTCTTAAGCTTTATGACTTTGCCCACCCATTTCTACTACAAGGAAAAAAGTCTTACTGGAATATGATAAATAGGGAGTCCACCATGTTCCAGAGATCTTAGTTTAGAAGGGATAAGTTTTCCAGTTTTAAGGTAGGCTTATAAGTAAAATCAGTAACTTTGTCATTTAAAACCTTTATAGATTTTTAAATCTGTAAGTCACTGAACATAAACAGCATCTATATTATTGTGTCAATACCTAGTTTAATGTTATTCATTCATGACTTTGAACAATGGAAATGGATAGAATCCATACATTTAACTGGAAAATATGGTGCGTTTTCATCTTTTGTGAGATGAGAACCAGTGTATTTGGTCCTTAATTCCAAAATCTTCTATCTGTTGTCTTCTTTTTTTTACCTGAACTGTACCTCCATATCAAGGATTTCTGCTAAGCTTTATTCACCTTGCCCCTCTGGTTGCACAGCCCATGTCTTGGTGTCATCTTTGTGTGTTTTCGTCGTCTTTCATATATTCTATCTTCTTAGCCACCAGGTATGTCAAATCTTACTTTAATACTTCCTTTTTTTTTCCTATCTAGTATCCTAGTTCAGACTCTTCTCCAAATCCAGCACTTTCCAAATTGTATTCAGGGAATGTTTGCAAGTTGCGTAACCATGTAAGTTTATCACATCCCTCCAGGTGAACTCATAAATTCATTGAAGGCAAAAACCAAGTCTTATACTTTTTATTTCTGTAAGACCTGGCATGTGTTGAGTAAATAAATACTTCTTGATTGACTTACATAAAAGGAAGATTAATACATTTTTTTCCTGAGTTTTGTGAGATATACATTATTTGTAAATATGCACATGCAAACCTGCCTTTCTTATTAACAGAATTTATTTTAATTAAATTCGTAACATTGAACTTGGCCTCTTACGATTGTGTAATGTGGCCTCTGGTTCTGTTTGCAGGCACATCTTATTCAGGTTATGAGGCAGCGGTGTACTCGGCCGCCTCCTCCTACTACCAGCAGCAGCAGCAGCAGCAGAAGCAGGCAGCTGCTGCCGCCGCCGCCGCTGCTGCCACTGCCGCCTGGACAGGGACCACCTTCACTAAAAAGGCGCCATTCCAGAATAAACAGCTGAAGCCAAAACAGCCTCCCAAACCGCCCCAGATTCACTATTGTGATGTTTGTAAGATCAGCTGTGCTGGACCACAGGTACTTTCACTGGGTGTTTTACCACTGTCTTTAATGGTTGTTGCTGATAGCTCAGGATGGTTGATATTCTAACTCTTGTGCCTACAGATAATGTTTACATTATCTTTGCTGTTAGCTTTTAGGTGACACATACATACTTCACTAAACAGTCATTTTTTAAAAGGTATTTGTATTGAGATGTAAGAATTCTGTTAAGAAAAAAACTGCAAAAATGATTATGAATGTAAATGGAAAATGGGCAAATAACCTTTTTTTTCCAGGAAAGAGACTTTGCTCTTTATATAAAACTTAAATTTAGCTTAAAAGTTTCATATTCAAAATAATTGGGATTAGGGGGTAAGGTTGGATTTTCATTTTTCTTTTAGCACACACAGCATATAGCCTTTATGCAAAATTTTCAACTTGAGACAATTGGTTATTGATTTCCTTAGCTCTTCTTCAAGGTCCATTTTGAGTGTATGAATAGAATTTTACAACTGAAAAAGGGTAACTGTAGAGATAGTTGAGCTTTTCACACTTGCATTAAGGATGACTGTCAGATATATTATTTTTTGGAGTATATAAATCTCAGAAGAAAATTGGCTTTCTGGAATATCAAAAATCCTTAAAATAAGTTCTTCTAATCTATAATTTTTAGGATAACATTGAGACTTACTTTTATATAAGCTTTATAGAGAATGTCACTTATTTCTGTATAATCTTCAGGAGGAAGTAGGAACTGTGGGAACAAGAAGGGTACTGGAAATGTCTTTTTCAAAAATATCAACTAATAAAGCATGTAGAACCTCAATTTCTTTTTCCTTGGTTGCTACACCTTGTAATATGTGACTTAGACATGAGTCTGTTTATAAAATCTAGGGAGTTGAGTTCCCTTCCCAACTTTATTAAGAACCAACATCCTTTCATGTTAATCCCGGGTGGCTGCAGACATTGCCCACCTGCCCTCTCCTCCAGCCACATGATTACATTGAAACTACTCTGTGATGACTGTTTAAAGGAGATGATGGTATGAGTGGCAAATGTAGACCTCTAAGAAGTTTGTTGAATATGTGGCACCCACATGAAAGGGTAAATATTGATGGCTCCAGGATGATAGGTTAACAGCAGCACCTCTGAGTATATAAGGCTGATCGATGATTTGGGTATCTGAATGTTTACACAAGAATAGGCCAATGGTACTTCTGCAAGTTGGAGGCAGTGCCATAGGGGTTTAATGAGCCTTAAAGGAAAATACTGAATTTTTTTTTTTTTTTTAGGAGAGCAAGGTAAAAGCTTTTATTTAGAAATAAAGTGAGAGAATCAAGCTCCTGGCTAATGCCAGGAGGAGACAAGAGAGCCCGAAAATACTGAAATTTTGAGTTAAGAGTCTAGGCGTGTATGTAAGAAGGGAGAGTAAGTCGGTTCAGATGTAAGGGGCCGTGGTTCCAGTCCTGGCGCCGTCACTAATCATGTGGCCTTGGGCAAGTTGAAGGCCTTTAACTTCTTTGGGCTTTTGTTTCCTCACTTCCATAATAAGGATTTTTCCTAAATAACTGAGGCTAATACTGTTCATGGAGGCACTTGAGGCCACCACTAGTGAGAGGAGAATCAAATGGCTGGGTCTTAGGTTTCCCTCTTTTGTTTGAAAACACAGAGCAACTTTTCTTGTGCATAAGATTTTATTTCGAGAAAGAATTCTCTAGTTTAAAAATTAGAGAGTCATCACTTTAGATAATTTCTCAAGTCTCATCTGGCTCTGAAAATTCTATGAAGAATACACAGTTATGTACTAATTATCTGTCTTAAAAACAACTTTAAAAATAAGATTTGAAAGGAACAATTTGGCCCCACTCAAGGAAAAAACAAACTACCCAGCAGTCCTTATTAACCTCCTCTCATTTTAATAAATCTCCTGCCTTCAAGAAAATTTTCAACATATATTTCACTATTTTGCTGCCTAGTACTACAATAATACTATTTTTCCTTACAAATATATGTGATTTTGTATATGTTAAAAATGTCTGTATTTTTCAAAGGCTTTGTTCAAGGTGACAGGGATTCTATGTTAAAGTGCATTCTAAGTTAGAAAAGTCAGTTCTGTAAATAAACCTGCCTGTTTGTAAAGGCTTGTTACCATACAATAACTTTATTTTTCTTCTCATGATGTAGATACATTTTCTTCTCTCATCTTAATCCTATAATTACATAATTCTTTGTGGAATGATCACTGTTAATTATTCTCTATCCAGCATTAATATAAGCAGCAAAAGATGCAAATTCTTAAAAGTGACAGTAGTTATCTATATTGAAAGCATGGCTGCATACGACAGTCATCTGTAAATCGGTGTTAGATGACTGTATTGGTAATAAACAAGATACAAGAGTCATAGATAGATCACATAGGGAATTCCACATGCTCTTGTTCACTTGCTTTTACAATTGTTTAGTCCTCATTTTTAAATGAGTATTAGAGATTTTGGAATTGAAGAATTTCAAATGTAGACAAAATTATCAGAATTTACCCTTTTTGTTTAAAACAGACTTATAAAGAACATTTAGAAGGACAAAAACATAAAAAAAAGGAAGCTGCATTGAAAGCCTCACAAAATACCAGCAGCAGCAACAGCTCTGCCCGTGGGACTCAGAACCAACTGCGCTGTGAGCTCTGTGATGTGTCCTGCACAGGAGCAGATGCATATGCTGCCCACATTCGTGGTGCTAAGCATCAGAAAGTAGGTGTTTTTTTCCCACACACCCTCATGTCTTACTCTGTTTTCTTTTACTTTTTCGATGGGGATTTAAAAATGTAAAGGTGGCTTCAAAATTTGAAAACTTGCTTATATGCTAATATATGTAAAGCTGACATCAAATAATCATTGCTTAAAGAGGAAAAGACTAAAGACCTTCTTTGAATTGAACTAGATCTTTTATTCCAACTGGAAATTAGTTGTATCATTATTTTCCTCCTCTTGTTATGCTTGTCTTGATTGGCATGCATGTGGCCAAGTCATTTCATCCTTCTCACCTTAGTTCCCTCACCTGGTGGTAGATGGAACATGTATCCATATCTGCTTCCCATATGTTATTTTGAAAGTGATGAGTTTTGTGTATAAAAATATATAACAGAAAAAGTACAGCAAAGAAAAATAGAGTTCAGGTTTTCATTTCATATAGTGTCTTTCAGGGAAACTTAAAAATCTACTCTTTGAGTTTCCTCACAAATAAATATGCTTTTATTTTGTAGGTGGTTAAATTACACACAAAACTTGGTAAACCCATTCCTTCAACAGAACCAAATGTTGTCAGTCAAGCTACTTCTTCAACAGCTGTATCTACTTCAAAACCAACAGCCTCTCCTTCAAGCATTGCATCGAGCAATTGTACTGTGAATACTTCATCAATTGCAACTTCTTCAGTGAAAGGTCTTACAACTACAGGAAACTCGTCTCTAAATAGCACATCCAACACTAAAGTATCAGCAGTGCCTACAAATATGGCTGCCAAGAAAACATCTACACCCAAAATAAACTTTGTTGGCAAGTACTGAAGTTCTCTGTTTCTCCTAACTCTGGCAAAATGATGTTTTTCCTCCATTCCAGGATTAGCCCTTCTGCTTACACTGTAGTACTCATGTCCTCCCTGCTCTGGGACCTTGTTCCATCATGTATCTGTATTTTTTCCTCCAGTTCTTAGTCAGACCTCTAATGGTTTCTTCTCTCTTCCCTTCAGCCATATAGGTATACCTGTGTCTTCATAATCTTAAAACAGACATTTTTTCATTCCTATAATATTCTCAAACCAGTAACCCTAATTCTTTTTATACGTCTATACTTCTTTCTAGTGGTCAGTCTGTTATAGTGTTTCCACTCTGCTCTGCTCTTAGACTGCTTTCAGAAGTCACCAAAGACCTAATTACCAAACCCAGTGGTCAGTTTTCAGTTTCATCCTGTTGACCTCTCTAATATTTGGCACAGTGACTGCTGTACCTTAAAACTTGAGATACATCTCTCTCTTGCTCCCTCTTACGTGTTGACACACCCTTTTCTTGGGTGTCTTTGTTGGTTCTCCTGCCTTCATGTCAGTAAATGGTGGTATTCCTAAGTTCTGATTCTGGTTCTTGCCTCACTCTACTCACCCAGTATTCATGAGTGATGTCATTCATATTAGTGTGTGCAGTGAATTTGAAATAATTGGGGCAAACTCAGAACCTCCCAACCTGAGTTCTAGATCCATCCATATTTTAGGTATTCTCTGGTTATCTGTACAGCTCTGTGGATGTCTGCCAGTGTCTCATTCTAACTTCTTACCTCATCACAAGAGTACCATGAAATAATCTCATAAATTTGCTGCTTTTCCACGTGGGAAACTTCATGACATTATTTATTATTTATTGCCTCCTCTGGTTATTTACCTAGTCCTTTTGTTTCTATTGCTACAAAAAATATCTTTTCTTCATAGCCACTACCTTGTTTTTAGGCCTTCAAAGTCTCTTCCTCAGAGCTCTCTCTCTCATTGCATCCAGTCTCTCCCAACACTTATAAAAGTCATTTTGTTAAAAATATATTTCAAATTGTATTAGTCTCCTGCTTAAAAATTTTCAGTGGCTTTCCCCTTGCATATAGGAAAAAACTATATCCCTTAGATAATGTCATCGAAGGCCCTTCACAGTCTGACCCCACATCGGTTATTTTAACTTTTACTTAGATAGTAGTTCATACTGAATTACTGAGTCTTCCTTGAATTTACTATAGTCTTCTTAAGTCTGTTATTACTCTTTTTTGTACACACTATCCTTCCTGTGTAAACATTCTCTTCTTTCTGCCTGGCCATTTCATACTTGTTACTCCTCTTTCAAAGCCCAGCTCAAGTGTCACACCCTTAGTGAAGCCTTTCCTAAGTGGGTCAGGTTAAAGGGCAATGGCTACTTTGCTTCACATTCTCACAGTACTCTATGCAGACTTACTATAGCACTTTTCACATTGTATTATTACTATTACTTATATCTTCCATAAGTTGTCGCCTCAGAGGCAGCTGTACTATCTCATATTACCAGAACTTGGAACAGTGCTTAGTTCCTTGGCAAGGAACTAAAGATACATACGTGAATTAGGCTTAGACCTACCTTTTTAGGTATTTGATGTTATGAGAGTGTGGTGGGGAAGGAGAGGATTATTGGGTGGGGGAGAAGGAATATCACCACATGTATTTTTTTAATAGGATTAAAAGCCAAGTGGTTTATGAGGTTCTTCAAAATTCTGAACTATTGTATGCCAAGTAGAAGTTTGACTATTGGTAGAAAAGATAAGAACTTTATATGAAGTTATTGTTGTACCAGCTTATACATTTATGCAGAAAGATACCTGAACTTTCCATAATTCTTATGTTCTCCTAGGTGGTAATAAGCTGCAATCAACAGGAAATAAAACAGAAGACTTAAAAGGAGCTGAATGTGTTAAAAGCACTCCTGTCACTTCTGTTCAGATACCAGAAGTAAAGCCAGACACAGTGTCAGACCCGGTTACACCTGCATCTCTTGCTGCGTTGCAGAGTGACGTGCAGCCAGTAGGCCATGATTATGTGGAGGAGGTATTAATTGGAGATTATGCTGTGAGATGAGATAAAAAAGCATATCACTTTGTTGCATGCATGCTTTACATGTAAAATTAAATTATATTCAATTAGATTTAGGTTACTCATGAAGAAATATCAAAAGAATCTTTGTTAAAGGTTTTTGAAAAGCATACCCTTTAAACTTGCCTAAGTGACATCACATTGTTTTGTTAACTTACCTCCTTCTCTGCTAATATCATCACTCTGCTATTGTAAAGTAACTTCCCATTTATTTGGTAGGCATTCTTGTAATTATCCTTCAACTATCCTCAACATAAAAAGCAGAAAATTGTGAGCAGCAAATATGCTGACAAAGAGCTGATTATTTGTTTCTCTAAACAGTCACTTAATTTCTTATGTAAAGCTGAGGTTCTTGATTTAACAGATCTTGCTTATTTGGTTTCTCAAGCTGATTAGAAAACTAGTCCTGTTTTACAGGTAAAAGTAAACTCGGTAAAAACAGAGCTATTGAGGGAACATCAAAGGGACTTGTAAAGTATTTGCTGTTAGCAGAAAGAGTAACATCAAGTGGTATAGCACTACCCTTGCTCTGTATTGTAGAACATGTATGAGTTCTCTGAACTTCAGTGTCCATGTCTATTCAATTTGGGTATTCTCAAAGTTGTGAAAACTAGATGAAGTACAGTGCCTAGCATATACAGTAGGTTTGGTAAATATTTGTACCTTCATCTTTTTCCCCCATCAAGAAAAATAATGTATTTTGTTGGATCCTTGGTTTACAAGATGGAAAACTGGCTTATATAGTTTGTAAGTAGTTCATATATAATTTTAACTTAAAGTTATAGCTCTTAAAAGGTGTACAGAGCCAGAACACCGTAATCTCCAATGATAATCATTAAGTAATCAAGGAATTGCATTCAGAGCCAGTCTTGAAAGCTTGCACAATTTGAACTTATGTACTTACAGACTTAGGTAGTAATGTACTCCAGTACAATATAGACTTCCTAATAACATTCCCATCTATTTGTCTTCCTAACTAACTGGTCGTGGAATTAGAAAAAATTGACTTTGACTTTCTATACAGTTATATGTATAAAATCTTGAGCTTTGTAGATACTAGTATACCAAAATAATGCCTTTCATCATGTTATCTCCATCTTCAAGAACAGTACATGTATTCAGTAGCAGAGGTATTCAGTAACTATTTATTAGAGCATTTAATGTATCTAATTGGACAAAAGTATGAAAATTAATTACAAATAAATACATGCTAACACATCTTGCACACCACAGTTAAAATTTCTAATATTTAGGTTGTTTCTATATTTAAAAGGATTTAAATATTAAATAATCTAAAGTATTATATCACCTCTTACATTTTTCTTAAAACTTAAAATATTATATTACTTCTTACATTTTTCTTAAACTTGTTCACAATATTTCTTTTATCAGAGAATCTGTGGAAGTTCATGAATAGGATCTTCAACTGTAGCGTTCCTTTTATGATTCTGGAATTTTTTCTTCCATATCAAGGTACGAAATGATGAAGGAAAAGTAATTCGATTCCATTGTAAATTATGTGAGTGCAGTTTTAATGATCCCAATGCTAAGGAGATGCACTTAAAAGGGCGAAGACACAGACTTCAATATAAAGTGAGTAAAATTTCAAGCATCTTTTTTTAAGCATCTTGGAACATTCTAGATGCAAAACAAAGCATCTGAACATAACTCACTGAGCCCATGAACTCCCACTCAAGATTAGGATCTCATGTCTTACTTAGATTCAGATTGTTGGTCTTTACTGATCAGTTTGTTATACACAGGTCAGAACAATATAACCTATTTCATTATTTTTAGTGAGGTGACAAAATGAAACTATAACACTGTTTACATCAGTGCTCATGAAAAGGTAATTGCTTCACTTAAACTGTTTTGGTAGAATTCCTACTAAAATGAATTTTGAGATGAGTATTCTTCATGAAAAAACACTTCAAGTGTTAACTCTAAATACTGAATTTAAAGTTTTCTAATTAGGCTGGACTAACGCACTAGATACATGTTTTCTAAACAAAGAGGTTTGTTAAAGGGCAATACTTTTATATGAAAAGAAACTAATCACCAACTCAAGACATTTAAAGTCATCTGTTTACAAACAAGTAGAGGAAAATTAAATACCTGTTAATCCCCTAAGAATTTCATTCATTGATCACTACTAAGTTATATACTTTTCACATAGAAAGATGTAATTTTAAAGTTAAACAGGTAATGTTGTGGGTGGGAGAAAAAAAAGAATGTTTATTAATGTATTCTCAGCCTTTCCTGTGAGTCAACTCATTTACTGATTTACTTTTATAATGGGTATTTGCAACTAAAAGCCTCTGATGAAAGAATATGTGGGATTCTGTGATTTAAAATTATGTGTAGACTGTTGGAAGAGCTGCTAGTTTTTAAATGTCTTGTATATTTTAACAGAAAAAAGTAAATCCAGATTTGCAAGTAGAAGTAAAGCCTAGTATTCGAGCAAGAAAGATTCAAGAAGAGAAAATGAGGAAGCAAATGCAGAAAGAGGAGTATTGGCGAAGACGAGAAGAAGAAGAACGCTGGAGAATGGAAATGAGGTAATGTCTTTTAACTTTCAGTAGCCTGATAATTGGTTCAGCCTTTCTAAAGAAACTTAGCTATTCTGAGTATGTGGGTTCCATTCAAAGTAATCCAGATTTATTTAATGTACTTTTAATTTTCATTTTTCAAGTAGATCCTAGGTCTAGGAAAGAAATGCATTAAAATTAAGTTATTGGCTATTCTATTCTAGTATTTGACCGTGGCCCTGGTATTAAGAATTATGTGGTAAGTGGTATCTTACATGTATATATTAAATATACAAATGGTTTAATGTTATAAATACATGCCTTATCAATTTAAAACAATCAAAAGAGAACATTTAGTTACATGATAAAACTATCCTGAGAATAAGATTTAGTAGATTCTAAATATTAATAACATATTTCTTTCTAAAAAGAAACTTACATTAGAAACTTTAAAAGCTATAGGGGAGATGAAATGAGAAAACAACTTTCAAAGATACATAAATGTTTAGTTTTATTGATCTAACTAACATAACTTTAAATAGTACAATTTAGTCACTTTTACAATATTCACAGAGCTGTACAACCATCACCACAATCAATTTTAGAACATTTTCATCACAACCAAGGAAATTATGAATCCATTAGCAGTTACTGTCTGTTCTTCTCCCATCCCCTCCCTGTACCCCTAACCACTAATATACTTTCTATCTCTCTGCATTTACCTATTCTGGAGAATTCATAAAAATGGAATCATAAAATAGGTGGTCTTTTGTGTCTGGCTACTTTCACTTAGCATGATGTTTTCAAGCTTCATGCATGTATCAGTACTTCATTCCTTTTTATGACTAAATAATATTCCATCATTTGGATGTACCACATTTTATCCATTCATCAATTGTTGGAAATTTATGGTGTTTCCCCTTTAAGGCTGTCACGAATACTGCTATGAATATTTGTGTAAAAGTTCTAAAGCACAATTTCAAAAAATAACAAGTATAATATATGCATAATTTATGACCCACTTTTTTCATTTATGTATCAACATAAAAATTTTTTTCCATGGTAGCTTATTTTCTTGTGCAGGTGTAAAATTTTCTTTATAACCAGTCCCATATTGTTTGGTATTTAGGTTGTTTCTAGTACTCCCCTAATATAATTATTACATTAACCATCCTTGAGGCTAATATTATTGTGTAAATCATAATAAGTTTATAAGAATAAGGGCACAGAAATGGAAACATTTGCTTGAAGGATGTCTTCTGTTTGTACTGGATAGTATAACCTACTGGTTCTCAAACTTTCTGATATCAGGACCCTTTATATTCAATAATTATTTGAAGACTCAGAAGAACTTTTGCTTATGTATACTTATCAAGATTTGCTATATTAGAAATTAAAACTGAGAAATCTAAATAATTCATTTTAAAATGACCTTTTAATTATATTCATCTACATAATTAAGTATAGTTAATGGCTATAATATATGACTATAAGGTATATTTAATAAATAACAATATGGTGAAAACTGACAAAATAACTATACTTCTTTCCCAGAATAGTGGGAATGACAGTATTGCACATTTTTGCAGATTTCTTTAATGTTTGGCTTAAGAGAAGGAAGCATGATTCTCGTATCTGCTGTGTGTAATATGCTGTGATGCCATTTTGCCTCTGGATAACTCCAGTGTATGCTCATAAAAAGAATGATAATAGAAAAGGCAAATGATGTGTTATATCATTATGAAAGTAATTTTGATGTCTTGGGTTCCCTGAGCCACACCTTGAGAACTATTGCTGTAACTTACTAAAATCTCTGTAATGAGAGAGTGAAATGTGAGAGCCATTTTTATTTCAGTTTGAATTGTTTGTATTACTAGCAAATTGAATTTTTGTTTCATTCTTGATCACGTGTATTTATTCTATGGTAAATTGCCTATTCATTTATTTTTTTTACTTACCTGTTGTTGATTTGTATAGACACTTCTTAAACTGTAGCTGTTAACCCATTATTAATGTGTTACCTTTAAGTAGTTTTTGCTGTTACTTACTGTTATGTATCAACTTATTTTTAAGGTATTTAAATCTACCAGTCTCCTTTATGAAGTTTCTACCTTAGTAATACATTCGAAATTCTCCTCTGTACCTAGATTATGCAGTTATTTCCTGTTTTCACTAATACTTCAAATACTAATCATCTACTGTATGCCAAGAAGTAGCCCTTAGTGTGTTTGGCACTGAGTATGAATTGGCAAACAATGGATAAAGGCCCCTGTCCTTATTTAACTTGAACATCTTCTGTAATAACAATGTAATTTAGTAATAGTTAATTATTCAAAACAGGAATGAACAAGATTTTCCAGAGCCTTCAAGCTGATTTTATTTGTTTTCTCTCAAGGCCTATATAACATAAAAATAAAGTTTTATACTTCTCCAAAGTCTTAAGTTGGGTGACCTAAAACACACTGCTTATTCCCAACCTGAGGAAGTTGGTAGTTTCTGCAGTGCTACTTGAGAAGCACACTTGTTTCTTTTGTATTGTATTAAACAAATTTGTCTAATAAAATCTTATTGCTACCAAAATTTGCTTTAGTGCTATGAGATTTCCCTTGGGAGTAACTGGTATCCTACTTTGAAGCTGAAAATGAGGATAAAACTGAAAGAGAGTGAGGCAGTGAAAAAGAAATTAGACCCTGGAAATGTTGAACATTAAAGCAGAGACTACACACTTGCTGTCCATAGTCCATATTCACCTTGTAGGTATTTTATTTGGTATACATAGTATTTTAAAATCTGAACCAACATTTAATGATCAACATCAAAGACATTGAAAAACTTAAAAATCCTGATGACTTTGTGATTACAACCTGTATTCCCTTATGGCAATAATTAATAGGAGCTTGAGTTGCAGCTGTTGTCTCTAGTCAGAACATGCTTTCTACTTACATAGTATCCGCAACCCTTAATGTGTCCCCAAGAATTAGACAGAGTGTGAGTTGCCCTATGTTACTGTCCTCCACTGTTAGGTTTCCTCATAGGTTGTCTCTGCTTGTGTCATAGATGGGGAAATTAAAGGTAGTCTGAAAGGGGTCTCTCTAAGGAGAAAGTAGGAGAGCATATTTCTTTGGAGACATGAAGAAAATTTCTATATGTGTGCCTTGGGTCTTTTGCTCACTTAACTGGTCTGGCCACTTCGGGGTAGGCATTTAAGTTTTCAATCCTTCCCTTAAAGAGGGAGAGATTGGAAGGAGCCCTGAAGTTTCTGATGCTTGTTCTTTTGACTGACATCAGGCTGTAAAATTTTGTCCTTCTTTTCCTTTTGTTCTTTCATTCTCTTTTCACTTTCATTTACTTCTAGATTGAAGTAAATAAGGGAAAGAGAAATAAAGTAAAAAAGTAAAAAAGCATTTACCTAAGCTAATTTGAGGGTTTTGGTATTTGGGGTTTTTGTTTTTGTTTGTTTTGTTTTTGCTTTTTATGATGTTATTGATATAGGTTCTCAGGTTGCGTTTTTCTTACAGGTTTATAATTAATATTCTGTATGTTTCAGACGTTATGAAGAGGACATGTACTGGAGACGAATGGAGGAAGAACAGCATCATTGGGATGATCGCCGCCGAATGCCTGATGGAGGCTATCCTCACGGTCCCCCAGGCCCATTAGGCCTTCTGGGAGTCCGCCCAGGCATGCCTCCTCAGCCACAGGGGCCTGCAGTGAGTGTCCACTTTGTTTACATAGGGGGTGAGAGTGCAAGACTGGTTAGCATTAGAAGATAATAGTTTGGGGGGCCAATTCCTACATTTAATAGTCTCATAATCTCGATGTAAGTTCTTCATTTGATTTAGAATTTTCCCTCCTTCATTAGAGGTTATCAACTCATGTCTTTATAAGCACTTCATAGAGTTTCCATGAATCTTGAATCTTATCTTCAGTGTAAGATAAATAGGAGCAGAGCTGCTTTTGCCAGCTCTTCTTTCACATCAGAGATTTTCCTGCCTTTGTTCTTTAGATTATCAGGAAGAAATTAATTTTGAAGGCAGTTGCTTTGCCTTCAGAATTTTTCCTATGTTTCCATCCCCAGTGATGTAGAATCATTTTTCTTTTTTCAAATTATGACCGTCTAAAATCTACTTTGTAATTCAGTGCAGCATAAAGGGAAGTAGTTAAATGATTCAAGATGAGCGCAAGAGGAAACTGTAGGAAAGACCTGCATCTTGACAATTTATATTCCGTGGAAGCTGGATTATGAGGAACATTTTATAGAAGTTTAGACTACGGAAGGCAACAAGATATTTTTTGTTTGTTTTGTTTTCACTTAGGAAAAAACTGCAAATTCCTCCTCAACTTATTCTCCTTCTTGTCTTTGCACAGAACAGCCATTTGTAAAAATTTGTTTATTAAAAACAAAAAACATTTTTTTTAAGAATCACTGTTTTTTAAAGTTGAGTAAAAAGTATTTTTATAATTTTAGATAGTGTTATAATTTTACTTGATTTGAGGCAAAGCATGTATATACATATATACTTAAATATTTTTGATAGTGTAACTTTTCATAGTTTGCGTTTTTGTTTTTATGGAAACAAAGACAGATAGTTTTAAATGGGCATTTTGCATAATTGACTTTCTTACTAAAAAGTTACGACAAACATGTATAGATGAAAAATGAGTTTACTTCTGCTCAGGGAACATATTTTTTTATGAAGTAATTTTTTTTCTTTCTAGCCTTTACGTCGCCCTGACTCATCTGATGACCGTTATGTGATGACAAAACATGCGACCATTTATCCAACTGAAGAGGAATTACAGGCAGTTCAGAAAATTGTTTCTATCACTGAACGTGCTTTAAAACTTGTTTCAGACAGTTTGTCTGAACATGAGAAGAGCAAGAACAAAGAGGGAGATGATAAGAAAGAGGGAGGTAAAGACAGGTATGTTATAAGAGTTAATTTATTTTGTACAGTTGTGTTTTTCCATACATGGAGTTCCTAACACTTGAAGTAAAAGTTACAGTGACTGAAAACTTCCAGGTGTGATTCTACGTGTTTTAACTTGTTGGTTAAATATTTAACATACTCAACTGCCTTTTTTTTTAAACTTTTTATTAAGGTATTATTGATATGCACTCTTATGAAGGTTTCACATGAAGAAACAATGTGGTTACTACATTTACCCATATTATCAAGTCCCCACCCATACCCTATTGCAGTCACTGTCCATCAGTATAGTAAGATCCCACAGATTCACCGTTTGCCTTCTCTGCTACACTGTTTTCCCCGTGACACCCCACACCATGTGTACTAAACGTAATACCCCTCAATCCGCATCTCCCCCCTTCACGACCCGTCCTCCCACACCCATCGTCTTTGGTAACCGCTAGTCCCTTCTTGGAGTCTGTGAGTCTGCTGCTAATTTGTTCCTTCAGTTTTGCTTCATTGTTATACTCCACAAATGAGGGAAATCATTTGGCACTTGTCTCTCTCCGCCTGACTTATTTCACTGAGCATAATATCCTCCCGCTCCATCCATGTTGTTGCAAATGGTATGATTTGTTTCTTTCTTATGGCTAAATAGTATTCCATTGTATATATGTACCACATCTTCTTTATCCATTCATCTATTGATGGACACTTAGGTTGCTTCCATATCTTGGCTATTGTAAATAGTGCTGTGATAAACATAGGGGTGCATATGTCTTTTTGAATCTGAGAAC